AGGTAATCAAGAGGCATCCCCTGGGTGGCAGCTGCAAAAATCAGGGTGCCAGATGAGTGTGCAACCTCTTTTTTGGAAGATACTGGCAACCTTGAGTGAGGTGGAGGGAAAGCACAAAAATGGTCCCTGCTGGCCTCTGTCTTTAAAAACTGTTTCAGTAGCCCCTAGATACATATTAAATTAGATGCCTTCCCCTCAGGCCAATGCTTTAATATCAGCAAATAGGCCTCTTTCATAGAAAGTCTGCTCACTTTTCAGTTGGCTGCCTCTGTGCTCGGCCCTGAGGGGTGTGAGTCCTCGTGCACAAATCCTTTAAGAACTGTTCCTCAGTTCGCTATTGCCTGTGGGTCTCATAGATGCAAGCCCGGTTGGCTTTCACAGGCATTTGGGGGCTTGTCTGTCAGGTGCAGGTCTTAAATGTTGGGGTGTCAGAGGTGGGGTTCAAACCCTTCCTTCCTTTGGGAGAAGGTCTGGGTTGTGAATTCCCTCATGATTGAGAATTGCCACATCAGTGGTGGGGTCTATGGTGAGATTGTGACTCAGTCTCTCCTACTCACTTTCTTGTGGATTTTTGTCACCTTCCCCCAACGTGAAGGAGCTGCTCACCTAGGATTTGATTCTTTTTCAGAGGAAATTATTTTGCATGTAGATGTCGATTTGGCGGCCCCTGGGAGGATGTCACTTCAGGATCCTCTTACATCACTATCTTGAACCAGACCTCCCTTTATCTTTTGGTCATCTGATTCTGATATATGGATCTCTGCAATGTGGATCTCATTGAATTTAACCTACTTGGAGCTCACTGAGTATGTTGATTGTAGTTTAGAGTGTTTTTTAAAAAATAAAATTTGAGAAATTTACTGCTAACATTTTTTATCTTTTTTCTGCTCTTTTCTGTTTCTCCTCTATTTCTAGAAATCCATTAGATATTTAGTGTTATGCTTGATGAAGTCCAATAGGTCTGTGAATGTCTTTTTATTGCTCTTTATTATTTTTTGTTTTTATTCCTCAGACTGAATAATCTAAACTTACATATCTTCAAGTTCAGTGATTATTTTTCTGTCTGCTCATAGCTGCTGATGAGCTCTTCCAGTGAATTTTTCACTTCAGTTGTTGTATTCTTCAACTCCAGAATTTCTGCTTGGTTCCTTGTTACAGCTTCTATATCTTTATTGATATTGTCTATTTGATACATTGATCTTATACTTTTATTTAGTTCTCCATACATGATTTCCTTTAGTTCTTTGAACATATTGAAAATAGCTGATTTAAAGTCTTTCTCAAGTAAGTCCAAAGATTGTGTTTCTACAGGAATGTTGTTTTTCCCCGCCTTGTGAATATATCATATGTTTCTGTTTCTTTGCATATCTTATAAATTTTTTTTGGTCATTTAAAATCATATAATGTGGCAACTCTGAAAATCAGATTCTTTCCCTTTCCAGATCTTGTAGTTGTTGCTGTATGTTGTAGCTTTTCTTGTTCATTTAGTTCTATTTCTGAACTAATGATGCTCATTTGCATTCTTTGTTGTGTTTGCCTACTAAAGTTCCTGCTCATTTAGTCTAGTAGTCTGCTAATGTTGTGCAGAGATTTCCTTAAATGCCTCAGCCTAGTGACTCTCTCAGTCCTTGCTGAGGGAAAGTCTCTGTGTGCGTGTTGGTCTTATCTTCCATACTCATCCAGGCAGTGCTGTTAGACTTCAATTCCTGCTTTCACAGAGCCACAATCTTAGCCACAGGTAAGGATGAATGCCTTCTCAGGCCTTTTCTGACATGCCCACATCCATATGCACATGCTTAGACTTCTAAATTCCAGGAATATGTCAAAGCTTTTCAACTCCTCTATGGATAGCTCATTCCCCAGGTTTTCCTTACAAGGTTTTAATTAGTCTATTTACGTCAATTGTTATCTACTATCTCAGAAAGCCCCAAAGTTAAACAATTGCCTGTAATAGCTTTTGTCAAATTCTTCTGGGTAAAGGGCTGTTCATAGTGGGAGAGCTCCAAGTTTAAGTCAAATACAGACTCTGTTTCAAGTACGGTCTTCAGGGGTACCACTACACATGTCAAATCGTAACAATTTTACTGGGAATGAGGCTTTGAAAGGGCTGTCTCTGGTGGCTGCAAGGTTGCTGGAGTTCACCAAGAATACATACATTTATTTTTCAAGTATACAGCACTGTCGGAGACAAGAGAGGTGACTAGGAAAAGTTAAAACACAAGATAGCTCCCTGTTCTTATTTGGGGTTATGCCATTTTTCTTGAATAAATGCTCCTCAGGTTACTGCAAGACAGTAGTTAATTTTCAGTGTTCTGAAAAAGTTTTCTAAAAGGTAGGCCAGTTTTGTCACTGGTTTTGTGAAGGAGAGAATTTTTGGAGGTCCTTACTCTGACATTTTCACCCTCCACATTTTAATATACATTGTAAATTTATTAGTAATTTTCTAATTATGGCTAAAGTTGTTCAGCATTTATATACTTTTCCCTGAATGACCCATTGAAACCAAACATTATCCTGTTATGACGTTTCAAGGTTTTAGTTCTATTTATTTTTAGTAGAAACACAAATTATATATTTTTTTAAATCAGAAAATAAGTAGTTGAATTGGAGAGGAAGAGAGAAAGAAGAAAAAACATATTGTGATGACTGGTGTGCACCTGCTGCTGTCTCCTTCTATCTCCAGTCCAGCTCTGGGGCTGCCCTGCTTCTCTGTTACAAAACATTCATGGCTGGGCAGGTGGCTCTTCTCTTTCACCCAGACATGGTGGTCAGAGAAAAGACCATAATTCAGACTCTCTCCTCCAAACTCTCCTTTACCTAAACACCTAGCCCTCCTCCTGGGGATACAGGTTCCCCTCACATCATAAACTGGCCAATCTCCCTCTTGCCAGGGTCTTTCACAGTCGTGACTTGAATTTCTCAGAATCTACACCCTCCTTTTCCTCTAGAGCACATCCACAGCTGGGATGATAGTGTCAGCTTGTGACCACTTTGCCATTTATGTAAAATATGACCTTGGATAAGTTATTTGATCTCTTTGGACTTTCAGGATGCTCCTTCATTAGTGAATGAATGCTTAGATAACATGGTGTTTTGAGGATTTAATTAAACATATATTGTGGATTAGTTGAAAGAACACATGGAAAGCCTCTGGCATTGAGTAGATATCCAATAAATGTATTCTTCACATGACCCTCTCTCAACTAGGGTGTCCTGCCCTTTGAAATTCAAGTAAAATGGACATTACCATCCACCAACTCCCTTGGGGGTCCAGAGAATTACCTACAATTTCTGTGACTTCTTAGGAACTTCCGTTCTCTTGGTCACCTCTCAGATCTCTCGTTCTTCCTGTGTGCTCAGCTCACTGAACTCTACATTTTTCTCCTACCTGGCCCTTCCTGACACACACGTCATGCTGCTGTAGATCCAGGTGTGCCCTCATCTAATTCCTCAAACATTCCTGGCATCAGGTAGTTACGTGTGGCACACTCTTACCAAAGGTTCTGCAGCTAGCATGTGAGCTTATCTGTGTGTTAGACCTTGGCACAGGATGGCTGGGATGTAGAAATGAGGTTTAAGCAATTGGTTTGCATAACTCTACAATTCCCACATGAAGAGTGCTGTCACAAGAGGCCTAGGGACATAGAGGAAGGGGCCCTATGAGACTTGCTCCCCATCAACCCAAGAGTGACTAGTGGAGGAGCTGCCTGGATTTTGACTCCACACAAGAAGTTCCAGACCATAGGAGTCATGGACTGCCTTTTGAAGTGATGTCCTCATTACAAGGTGGGGTGGGGGAATCAAGCCAGTGTTGAATGTTCTCTTGTCTGGGATGCTGCAGAGCAGTTTAGTGGATAAACAGACTGGAATTAGGTGACTTGCTTGAGGCCACATGGTAGGATTGGACAGCTGTGATGTTGGGGATTTTTTTCATGAGTTTGTTGTTAAGAGTGCAGACCCTGACCCTTGATTTGCTGTGTGACCGTCACAAGTTGTACAACCCCTTAGGGCTTGGGTTTCCCATCCAAATATGGGTTACTATGCAGTGCCCTGACTACCTTGAGTGCATGGTCATGGGGCCAGTCCTGCAGCTCCAGCCTTGAGGTGTTCTACCTGGGCAGCTGAGGGGGAAGCCTCAGTGGGGAGGAGAAAGAGGCCCTTACAGGAGTTAGGAAGATGGCACCGGTCCCCTAAGGTAGGGGAGGCAAGAGTTCTCGGATGTTGCAGAGTCTCCAGTCTGGGGGAAGAGTCCAGGGCCTGACCCTCAGTAGGGGTGGTGAGTCTGAGGCAGCTGGGGCTGTGGCCAGGAGGATGTGCAGGTCTCTGTCCCTGCTGCTCTGTGATGGCGGGAGTAGGGCTGGCAGAGGCTTAGAGGAAGAGCCTGGTTGGGATGCAGCTAAGAACCTGTCAGTTTCTGTAGAGGTTAGTCTACGCCCTGTGTGGGGAGCATCACTAGCACTAGTGGCCGCTGAGGGACCCATGTAGGCGCAAGCAATAGGCAAACGGCAACATGTGCACTGGGGTGTGGGGATTTGACACTTCACACAAAGAGCTTTGCTTTTTTGCTCAGAGCTTCTTACTTAGGTGACTGACAGTTGAAATTTGTGGAAAATCCAAATGGAAATTTGACTCATTAAGGTGAGGCTTAGCCCAACCAGGCTCTAAAAGAGTGACCTCTGAGCTGACCACACTGACACTGCTGGCCAGGGCTGCCTGGGGCAGGCTGTTGACCGGAGAAGCAGGTGAGGGTTTTGAGTGGGTGTAGGGCTGGAAAGTGTGAGAACACTGCAGGGAGGGTCTCTCCAACACTGCGCCAGGAGGATCATAGAGTGAGGCTGTTTATAACTGGTTCTGCAATTATGGTTGACGTCTTACTGTAGATACCAGGGATGATATGAAAGAGCTGAATGAGTTACTCTAACTACTGGGCTGCGATCCAGAACTAACACTTTGCTCCGCCCCTGGGGAGGGAAGAGCATAAGCCGCTTGTCTGAGTGAAGCTTTCCCTCTGCTTTTGTCTCTGCCTCCTAGATGCTTCCTCTGCAGCGGAACAGGCTGGCAGGCAGCCTGTGATGGGGCCCTGCTCAGAAGACCCCCACCTCTGCTGGGCCTCCTGGCTCCTGGGATTCAGCAGCCTCCTCCTCAGTGAGTGGTCCGGGCTCCTGGGAGGGAGGGCAGCAGGGTGGAGCAGGGGGGCAAGGTCTCCCTCCCCTCTCTGCTGTCTTTGGCGAACAAAAGACAAAACAACTCTTATAATTTAGCAAATGCACTGTCCATGGGTGAACAGAAAGAACAAATGGCTTTTTGGTTGCATGGAGGCTGGGAACCCTGAGGTCCCAGCAGTGCTGCCTTAAGGGGACCATTAACAGAGAGGCAAGGCTACTTCTGCTGCAATAACAGTGAAGCCAGCAGGGAGAGCCTGGAGCTCCCCAGGGACGAGGGATGGAGACAGACAAAGAAGCTACTCCTGGAGACAGAGTGGGTAGGAACCGGGCAGCCCTGGCCTGAAACTCAGAGGGGACCTGCCAGCTTCAGCAGCTGTTGTGTAGAAGAGAGGGCTGACTTGGCACCACCATATCTGAGCTGGAGGAATCAACTGTAGTCTGGGCTTCTTGGGCTTCTCCTCTTCAAAAGGAGAGTGAACGAGCGGTGCCCGCCTGGGTTTGGGGCTCAGCTCCAAGCACCAAGGAGAGAGTCCCTGGGAGTCTCACCTTCAACTTCAAATTACTTGTGAATTTTGCATTTTACTACAGTGTTAGTTTTCATCTTAAATGTTAAGGATTTATCTTTGGGTAAAGTGAATCCTCTGGGGGGACACCCTTTTTCCTGCCTGTGGGTTGCATCTCCCTACACTGCTAATGCTGCTCAGGTCCTGGAGACCCCAGACTGAAAGCACTGGTTTAGAGAAAAACTCTGGAAAGAAAGGAGGTACCCAGCAGTTCGGGAATGATTGAACAAATTGAGGAGTATTTGTACCATGGAACAATGTGGAGGAAAAAACAAACAAATGATCCGTTGTCTGGGTGGGATTTCCAATTTCCATGAGGTCAGATGTGTGGATTTCCAGGAGCAAGATGCGGGAGACTGAGTACCATGAAATTCTCATTTTGTAAATGAACAGGAACCTCGAAATTTAAGGGTGTCTGTGTACCTACTTGTTGATAAATGGAGAAAATGTGAAACGAAACAGCAGATTGCTAAGGTGGGTTCTCAGGGAGGGTGAACTTGGGGAGGAGACAGAGGAGGAGGAAGTATAGAGGGGGAGGGTTCAGCAAAAAGGGAACTGAAAGGAAGGCTGTGCTTAGGACGGCCGGATATCTCATCTATGACTTTATAGGACATTTTATGTTTACATATAATGTAATTAAAGAAAGAAATAGTGGGAAAATAACAACCATTGAATTAGGAATTTAAGTGAAGGCTGTGAAAGCTTTCATGGTTGTATTTTTTTGTTCTAATATCCCAGCCACTATACGAAGTTGCAGGGAATTATATGAAGTTTAGTGGATTACAGAGCGTTTGTACACAGGATGTCTTGAATTCATGATGAGCTTTGCATTAGACCCCTTTAACTAGGTAACGTAGTGTCAACAGTAAAATGTCGGCTTTCTCCACTTCAATTTTATTTAACTGGAGAAGACTGTTAAATTATGTAGAGTTTTCTGCAAAGTCCCTAGGGTTGTAAGATTATATAAATAGAAAGAGAGACAGAGAGAGATGGGGGTGTTGGGAGAAAAAAAGGAGAAAGGGTCAGAAAACTGCATAACATTTTATGGTGATTTTTGAGTGTTAAACTTTATATTATTTAAATGAATTTTAACTCTATCCTGTTTACCATCATGCCCTCCCCAGGCTTGATTTTCTTCTTCAGGATTAGATCCTTTGTGGCCCAGAGAGCTCTTGCTGCCTTCCTCCTCTTTCTAAGTCTTCTTCCATCTCCCTCACAGCTGGTACTCCCCACGCAGCTTCTGGAGCCAATCCTCCCTGCAGCCTGAGGGCTGAGCCTCTTCTCTCCCTGGGTCGCTCCTCTCTAGAAAGTGGGGAATCTGGTTGGGCTGCAGTTTAACCCTCCCCTAGCCAGAGGCCCCTGCTCTGCTACCCCTCTAAGTCTTGCTTCCCTTTCCCAGGAGAGGGAAGTTGGAGGGTGAGACTCCGGGACCTGCTCAGATCCTGGGATCAGACAGCAGTGCTGGTAGGGAGGAGCCCTGGGGAGGGCAGGGAAAGGCTGGGGGAGCTGGTGGGCAGCTCCTGCAGGGGAGGAGCCCTGGGCGGGAAGAGAGGAGACCAAGGCTCCAGGTCTGACTCTGCCCTGCATGACCCAGGACAAGGTCACCCACCAGGGAGCCTCCTCTTCTGTGACAGGAGGGCCTGGGCAGAACCCCTCTACGGGGATGAGATTCCTGAGTCCACCCAGACAGGACTCTCCTGTGGCTGCTTCAAGGCCGCTGCTCTCTCTCTTCATCCCCTCCTGTCCTATTCTTGTGGCCTGACAGGGACTGCCAGGTGGTGAGCCTGTTTAGGGAACCATTTAAGAGAAGACCCCTGGCAGTCCCTGTGGTCACTTCCTCAGCCCTCCAAGAAGGGACGGCATCATCCTCTTCAAGCCTTATCTATGGGATCCAACCTGGCCCTCTGTTTTTTCTGTCAACTGCTCCTGAGAGGGGGTCTCCAGACCACCTGGAAGGACATCATCTCCTTCCCCCAGTGTGTGGAACTTGGTCTGCAAACCCTGCTCAGGAAAGCTCGCTACAGCTGTTCTGTTCAGAAGCAGCTGACTGAGAACCTCGGCCAGAGCTTCTCAGTTTCTGTCTGTGGAGCAGAAAATATCAGCTTCTTTCTCTCTGTTTCCCTGTGCTGACCCCCTCTTACCAACGCTGGGAGAAACAGACAAACATAATTGGGTCAGAATTACTGTGAAAATCCCTTAGGAAGCCGCCACCCTGGAGATTGAAATGCTGTCTGTCAGTTCGTCCATCTGAGCAGTTCCCCATTGGAACAAGATGTTCCAGTGAGCACCAGGTTAGATAGAGCATTAATGCTTAGTGTCCGTTGCTGTGTCCAAAATTGCACACTTCAATGTGTGATGAACTCTGAATGCCATGATTGGCTGAGGTGTTAAAGAATACTTTAATTTCACTCATTAATTAATGAGGGAACCAGGAGGCTTTCACAGCCTGTTCCAAGAGAGTCTGAGACCGCACCCACACAGGCCATCAGGATGCTGGAATGAATGTACAAACAGGTGCCTCGTGTTTACAGAGTTTATGGCATTTGTGGCTACATAGAGAAAGGTCTGGAAGGATACACATCAATAACAGGGCTTACCTTTGGAAGGAGACGCTCTTGGAACTTTTACTTGAATCAACTCCATAATCCAGGTAATAGTTTTTATGAACACATAATGCTTTTAAGATTATAAAGCAACTCACTAAAGAAAGTGGAGAATGCCCCCACCGAATGCAGTTGATAATAGTAATTTTTTCAACCCAAGCTTAGGATAGCATGTAGCCTGTCCTTCCTCCATCTTTACCACTCTCCCTTGCAGCACAGATGTCTTCAGGTACCTGATAACATAGAAGCTGACAGTGGCCATGGCAGCCAGCTGCTGTCTACACAGCAATAAATTTCCTTTCAGTCTGAGGCCTTTGGTAAACAAGAAGGCCCTGGCTGGACTTTGACTCCCTACAGCCACCTATGGGATTACACCCACAGGTGTCAAGCCCAGCCCTGTATCCAGGGGGAGACCCCTTAAAGGGGCAGGTAGGGGAGAGGAAAGGGCACCACCCTGGGACCTGGGAATGTCTGGTTCTGATCCCAGGTAGGCTTGGTCAAGAATCATCATCATCGTAGTGAGCTGGAACACATTTATGGATGAGTTATCGAACACTGTGCTGAGAGCTTTTATCTTCTTAACTCCCCACAATAATTCTGTGAGGTGAGCACTGTCATCATTTCCATTTCACAGATGAGAAAGTGAAGGCCGAGAGGTTCAATAACAGCTCAAGTCCACACAGCCAGAAAAATGGAGACCTGGCGTCAACTTTAGTCTCGCTGGCTCTGAAGTCCAAGCTTTAGACCACCTGTTGTACTGGATCACCCAGTCTGACCTCTCAGCACGTTTCAATAAAACATCCTCTGAGGTGGGACTGAGAGGCTGTGAGGACGCTGCAGTGCAGCTACAAGGTGGTGGAGCCTCCACCACGTGTGACAGGCCCCCTCCCTCCCTCTCTTATGGGACATGTGGTGTAGGATATAAACTCTCCTTTCCTAAGACCCTGAGGCACTGTAACTATTTGTTACCACAGCCCAGCCCATCCTGACTACTACACTGCCTGGAAGGAAGGGGAAGGGACAGCAACCTTGTTATTGTATTAGTTATCCATCGCTGTGTAACCTGTTACTCGAAAACTTGTGCCTTAAAACAATACCATGTACAGCCTCACAGCTTCTGTGGGTCAGGATCCAGGGCTGGTTTAGCTGGTTCTCTGGCTCAGGGTCTCTGAGACTGAAATCAAGGCCTTGGCGGGGGCTGCAGTCAGCTCAAGGCTCAGCTGGGAAGACTCTGCTTCCGAGCTCACTCGTGTGATTGCTGATAGGATGCAGTTCCTGTGGCTGTTGGACTGAGGGCCTCAGTTTCTCCATGGCTGCTGGCTGGAGGCTGCCCTCAGTTCCTCGCTGTGTGGGCCTCTCCACAGGGCAGCTGACAACATGGCAGCTGGCTTCATCAGACTGAGGGAGAGAGAGAGTGCGAGCAAGATGGGTCACAGTCGTGTATAAGCTCACATCGCTAGGTGACATCCCATCACCTTTCCTGTATCCTGTTCCTTAGAAGCAAGTCACAAGGTCAGACCACATTCCAGGGCTAGGTTACCAAGGGTGTAAGCATGAGGAGGGAGGGGTCTTTGGACCCACCTTGGAAGCTGCCTCCTACAGATACCCTCTTGGTATGTGTCAGAAAATGTGCTGGTGCTTTTGATCCCTGAGCTCATTTAATTCACACTATCATTTTGACGCAGATAGGGAACCTGCAGGTTAGCGTGTTTAAGTAACCTGTTCAAGGTTATACTCCACTGGAACCAGGACTTGATTAAGAGTTGCTTCAAATTCATTGTACTAGGCTGCCTTCCAGGAATCAAGGGAGTATATTGGATGGATTTCATTAAAAAGATGGGTTCTCTTTTTAGCCTGCTGGCATAGTGCTTAAGTTTGTGCACTCCGCTTTGGATCCAAGGGTTCACGGGTTCAGAGCCTTGGTGCGGACATATGCATTGCTCATCAAACCATGCTGTGGCAGCATCCCACATACAAAATAGAGCAAGATGGGCATAGATGTTAGCTCAGGGCCAATCTTCTTTACCACACATACACAAAAAAAGATGGGTTCTGTGGTTCTCTCTATTATTCTTGTTCAAAAAACACTCATGTTCCTGTTTCCAATGCCCTAGATGTCTGCAGCACTGGGGTCAAGAGTCCTGGAGCACATGATGCTGGAGGTCACGATTCTGGATCCTACGTTTCTCTGAAGGGGATCCGAGGAGGTTCTGTGTGGTTTCATGTGACCAAGGAGTCAGGAACTGAGCTGGAGGAGATCGTTTGGGCCTTTGGCCCTGCCATTAAATACACAGTCATGCTGAAAGTCCGTAACAGGTCAGAAGAGACTCCAACCTGGGTCAACCTACAGGACAAGTACATGCAGAGGGTCTATGTGCCCAATATGACGTCCCTGAGGATTGAGAACTTGACCCGTGAGGACAGTGGGCAGTACCAGGCTCACGTCATCTTAACTGGGGGAATGGAATCTCACCAGATTTTCTACCTCACTGTCTATGGTACGTGACACCCCCCCACCTCAATCCCATGGCTATGACCTTCTTTTGTGCCTAGGAGTGTCGCGTGGGCACCATTTTGCAGGACTCCTTCCTGACGGCAGCCTTCAGGCTCTATTTTCTCCCTTGAAATTAGGGTAAGTGGGTTCAGCACAAATGGAGAGCAGAGCTGAGATTCACACCAGGGAAAGAATCACTTCAGTGTTTTGGGAGACAAAAATAGAATTATGGGGGAAATGGAATTTTTGCGATAACACTTTGTTCTTTAGAGGACTCGGTTGACTTAATTCATGTATCAGTTTTCTATTCCTGCTATAACAAATTATAGTGGCCCCCCTTATATGTAGAGGATACATTCCAAGACTTCCAGTGGATGCTTGAAACCATGGATAGTACCGAACCGTATATATAGTATGCTTTTCCTATACACACATACCTATGCTAAAGCTTCATTTATAAATTAGGCACAGTAAGAGATGAACAGTAACTAATAACAAAATAGAACGATGCTAACACTATATTGCAATAAAAGTTACCATAGATCTTCGCAACCCTCGGCATATGATTTTTTTCTTTCTTCATTAAGTCAAGAACTGTCACCTTTTCACTTAAAAGAATCACTTTATGGCTTCTCTTTGGCATATCCGAGCATCACTACTGTTGATCTTTGGGATCATCATTAATTAAAATGAAGGTTACTTGAACACAAGCACTGAGACACCATCACGGTAGATCTGATAACCCAGCTGGCTACTAAGTGACTCACGGATGGGTAGTGTATACAGTGTGGACACACTGGACAGTGATGATTCACGTCCCAGGCAGGATGGAGTGGGATGCCGTGAGACTTCAACACATTACTCAGAAAACTATGCAATTTAAAACATGACAACTTTATTTCTGGAATTTCTCATTTAATGTTTTTGGTGTGTGGTTGACCGTGGCTAACGGAAACCTGGGAAAGTGTAACCGTGGATGAGGAGGGACGGCTGTACTACAAACGTAGCGGGCTAAATCCACACAACTGTGTTCCCTTACTCTGTTGTGTGTAGGTCAGGAGTCAGACAGGGTCTCACTGGACTAAAGTGAAGGTGTTGGCAGGGCTGTGTTCCTTTCTGCAGGAGCCACGGGAAAAAACATTTTCTTGTCTTTTCCACCTCCTGGTGGCTGCCTGCATTCCTAGCTCTTGGCCACATTCCTCTGTCTTCAAAGACAGCAACGGTGGGACGAGTCCTCCTCACACTGCATTCCTCTGATGTCTCTCCTTCCTTCTACTTTTAAGAACCCTTGTGATTACATAGGTCCCATCCAGATAATCCAGAATAATCTCCCTATTTTAATGTCAGCTGATCAGCAACCTTAATTCTATCTATTACCTCAATTCCCCTTTGCCATTAACCTAACATATTCACAGGTCCTGAGGATTAGGATGCGGACATCTTTGGGTGGGGGGCACTGTTCTGCCTGCCGTAATTCAGAAATCACATGTAGTTCATCCTCCCTATTCTCTCTGCTCTTCCTCAGCCCCAGCCCGATGCCAGCCTCGCTCACAAAATCCAGCCCTAAGAGCTTCCATAGACGTAGGAGAAATTCCAGTCTGCCACACTTCTGAAGACCTCATTTAGCACCTCTTTCTTTCCCTACATTTCTCTCCATAGAGAAATATCCTGCTATGGAGAGTGGCTTTGACAACTTTAGGTCTCCATGGGATTTCTATGATGTCTGGAAAACCTCTCACTTCCCCTCCTCTGTGTACCACAAGTTCAGTGGCATGTTCTAATCTCACTTGGGGGTGTCATCCATAGTCATAACCACTGCATCTCCCACATCTCTCCACTTTGGGGTGCATGGGGCCTTTCTCAGGACTCCCAGAGCTGGCCAGATGTCCTTCTTCACCGTGGGCTGTGCAGTCCAGGCATCATCTCAGCAGGAGAAGCAGAGTGAGAGCCCTGGACCAGGACACGTCCTTCATTCCAATTCTTCTCCTTCTGGGAAAGACCCAATTTCTAAAAATAGTGGGCCTTGGGTGGTGGAGTGCTGGCTTTATTTTCTTGTGGGAGATTTTAAGACTTTCTCAGTCTAGTGCAGCCACATAAGGCTTAACTCAGTGGCTCCCTTCCTTCTTGTCTCTTGCAACATATTTAGCTTTGGGTAAATTCTATTTCATCTATAAAATGTCTCCCCTTCCTAGAGGGAGGAAGACAGAGCTTCAGTGAGATAGTGGACAAGAATGTGCAAATTGTAGTGTTTTCCACTCACATGAGGCTCCATTCTCTTGTTCCTTTCACCCCAGAGCCTGTGCCCCTTCCCCAGATCCAGGTCCAGTCAGTGTCCACCACACCAGGCTGGTGCAACATCACCCTGGAGTGCAGGGCTGCAGGGGTCACAGAGGACCTGAACGTGACCTGGGAAAGCAAGGACCTCCCAAGGGAGCTGGAACCAGCCCGCAACTCCTGGACCCTGGCTGTGAGCCTGCCTCTGAGCCAGCACAATGCCAGCCTCACCTGTGTGGTCAGCAACTCCAAGGACCGGAAAACTGTCACCTCATCCCTTGGGAAGGTCTGTGCCCATGGTGAGTACAACATGCCAGAGGAGAGGGGCACTGTCATAGCTCAGGGAGCTCTGGGGTCTGAGGATTCTGAGTTTTTCTCCCCACCATGTTTATCAGCACCACCCCAACCTGGTCACCCCCTACAGGAGTCTGGGAGGCACATCCAACTTGTTTCTGCTCTTAAATGACTCTCACATCTCTGCCTCTCACCTCTTGCCCCTGCTGGTGGTCAGCAGCTGTCCAGTACCTCTCCCACCCCACCCGTCCTCCACAGGGAATGCAGAATGGTCTTTGGGAAAGAATCTGGATTGTGTCACTTGTCTGTGTCGCCTGAATGGTTTGACCTCCAGGGACTGCCTGTAGGATTCAGGGCTCTGACGCTCCTGTGCCCATGTTTTGGTCACTGACACTCACACCAACCTGCTTGCTTGGAGTCCCAAATGCCTTCTGCAAAGTTAGAGCCTCTGGATGTACTGTTTCCTCTACCATCATTCCTCCTATCTTTTTCTTCATTTCTTGCCTTATTCTTTTTTTTTTTTTTTTTTTTTTTGAGGAAGATCAGCCCTGAGCTAACTACTGCGAATCCCCCTCTTTTTGCCAAGGAAGACTGGCCCTGAGCTAACATCCATGCCCATCTTCCTCCAGTTTTTTATATGTGGGACGCCTACCACAGCATGGTTTTTTGCCAAGCGGTGTCACGTCCGCACCCAGGGTCTGAACCGGCGAACAGTGGGCCGCTGAGAAGCGGAACGTGTGAACTTAGCTCCTGAGCTACTGGGCCGGCCCCTCTTGCATTATTCTTATTGAAGGATTTCCCTCAGGCACGGGTGACTGCAGTAGCATGTGTCCCATGTTGCCACACAGAGCTGTGTGCTGGTTTTAAAGCTCTCCAGTGGTCATCTTGAAATTTCTAACAATCTTTGAACACAGGGCTCCTCATTCTCATTTTGCCCAGGGCCTTTAGCCATCCTGCCCTCAGGCTCACCTTTAAGGAGGGTCCCTGGCCCCCCACTGAGCGGTACTGCTCTGTATTGTACCTGTCTCCTCCAGAGCCTGGAGCACCTTGAGGGCAGGGCCCTGTCTTCTTCTCCTCTGAATCCCTGTGCCAAGCACAGCTTCTGGCCCAGTTTGTTCACAGTGTCCCATTGAATGAACGGATGACCTGGTACCCCTGAGTGCAGCCTTGCCCCTCTAACCTACCCTCCATGAGCTTCTGGAGGGATCTGATGTGTCAGCATCACATAAAACCCCCTGTGACCCTCCCCTCACCCCTGTGCAGGACCCTCAGATAAAGTTCAACACTCAGCGTGACCCACTAGACCCTCTGAGAGCAGAGTCCTGCCTCTCTATGAACTTTCTTGCCCAGCTCCTTCCTGCCCTGTTCTCTTCTGCCTGCCCCAGCGGGGTGCTGGGGACTCCCAGGGGCTGGCTTTTGGACACAGTCATATCCTGAACATGTGCTCCTCCCTCCTGGAATGATGAATATTTGGTAAACTCCTATTCCTCCCTCAAGACTCAGGTTACCCATCACCTCCTCTGGGAAGCCTTCCCTGAAGACCTGTGTACAAGGTGTAAACTGCTATTGCACTGCGATCCCTCTGGCTGGCAGACTTTGTTATTCTCTCAGTCTTCCCTGCTGGGTGATGAGCTCCAAGGGCGTGGACCAAGTCTTGTCCATCTCAGTATCCCAGGTAGCAAGCAGGAGCTCAGGAACTGGTTGAATGAATGAATCTCTGTGCTCCTGCCTCTTCAGCTTCTGATCCAGGACCCTCAGACTTCTCTACCTGCTCTCTCTATCACTTCTTAGCAATGTGTATCTAAGTTCTCTCTTGCCTTAACCTTCTTCATTCTTTCTGCTTGAGGGGAACAGATTCACAGGGACAGGCCTCAACAGGCACCCTCAAAGCCATCCTAGGACCCATCGTGGCTGTGCCATTGATCCTCGGTGTTGGACTGTACCTTTGGAAGACACATGAGAAGAAGAAGAAGATGGAGATTGGAAGAGGCAGGTTAACTTCTTTCTGGCCCACATACCTCCCCTGCCCCACTTGACCCCTGGCTCCCTTCCTCCTGCATTTTGCTGCTCAGGGAATGCCCTTGAGCTTCATAGCAGTGGGGGAGGGTACAGGTTTCCAAGGCCCAGATTCCACCTCCAATCTATGTGTGACTCAGGTGCAGGACTGCAGGAGGAACACAGGAACCAGGATGATGACATCCAGTATGCAGAGCTGAGCCTGCAGGAGTCTCGAGGGGGCAGGGACAAGGTGAGAGCTGGGAGCAGTGCCCACTTGGGCTCTCCCACCCTCTGGCTGAGTCTGAGAATTTCTGGCCCTTCTGTCTCTAACTCCTTCCTGATAGTCACTGGTATTTACTAAGAAAATTTACAACTGGGGCCAGTGTATTGCTGGGTACTCTGCGGGAGTTCCCATGCAGTTCATGTCAGTGGCATTGGTTCCATGTGGGTCCCTCTGGGACCTCTCTATCCCACAGCTGTTCTCTGAATCTTCTGTCTTACATTCCTAGGGTATGAGGGAACGTATGAGGGAACGACGTCTACAAGAAAAGGAAGATCTCACTGCTGTCTACAGTGAGGTTCAGAAGCCAGGCCAGGCCAGGCCATGAAGATAAAGAGAAAACAGGAGAATCAGCATTCCTAGGACACCTCCACACTGAGCTTGATCCCTGCAGACACCTGCCTCTTCCAGCTCTGGTCCAGCTCCAGCTGCTTCTGGTCCACATTGCTCTGACCCTCATGTCTTCAACTCCCTAGGCATGCGTAGCCCTGTCATGTCCTCTGACACCTCCCTAAGCTGCCCTCCCACTCAGGACCCTCACTCCTGCAGGACAAGTGCTCTTTCCCTGTCATTGAGTCGGCTCCTGACCCCTCTCCTCCTGAAGATTCCCCAAAGGAGACCCTCCTGATTGTGCTTGTGTTAATCCCCACAACCTCTGCTGTGTGTCTTTCTGAGAACATGAGCACAAGTGTGGGGACTGTGTAGACGTGTTGACCACGCCACAAAGGAGGCAGTGAGGCCCTCGGTGCTGGATGCTGAGTTCGGGATTAATGGAAGCAGCATGGGTGGGTGGGAGCCCACAAAGGGACTGGCCTGAGGCTTCCTTTGCACCTTGTGGAGGGCTCCTTTGGGGGTGTTGGGCAGTGAGTGTGTGTGTTGGGGAGAGTGTCTAGTGTATGTTACATACTGGCCAGAGCCCTTGTTCTTGGCCACCTGTTCTAACCTGGTCCTTGGCCTCAGCGTCAGCCCATGGGTCCCAAACCCACTTTCCTGTGGAGTGGGAAGAGGAATTGGCACTGTTTCAGGCCCTTTGAATTCTTCTGTTTCTCAGAAAATCACTCCAGAGGCCCAAAGTTGGGAGTTGCCCTCTTAGGAAAACAGCCTTAACTCTTCTCCTACCTTGGATAGGGGCACTTGGTGGTTAGAATGGATGTGCAGTGTCCTCCCGCCCTCCTTGGTGGGGCTGTTGTGGCATGTGAAGCTTGTGGGACCAGCCATCTCCAGACTCTTCTGCTGACCCTCAGCCCCGCACAACCATGCTGGCCTGAGACCCTAGGTCAGCCCCTCTTTGCTCACTCACTTCCCTATGTCTAGAATGACAGTTCCCTCTCCCTGTTCCTTGCTCCCATCCCTGTCTGTTGAAATACTACCATCCTGCCTGAAGCCTCCTTCCAAGTCACGTGTTCCATGGATCCTAGCTGGTCCTTGGTTTGGAAATGGTCTTTCCCATGTCTGACTTTTTCCAATGCCTTGGACATAACTAAAGCCATGGCCACAGTCTGTCCTGGATTAGACATGAGTCCTCTCTGCTGGACTAACCTGGGACTCCCCCAGGAGGGTGTCAGGGCTGAAGGAGACCAGGACCAAGAAGACAAGCACCTCTCTATGTGAAGGGTCTGGGCCACCCTTCCTCCCACAGGGGCTCAGCAGACTGAGACCAAGAGCACAGAGGCTGCTGCAGGTCTTTCTGGTGCTGGGTCCACGTGGAAGCAAGGATGGAAATGATGACCTCCCATGACCCTGCCGATGAGCTCTCATGACTCTCCCTGGTCCAGAGATCTGAAGTGGGGACTTCCTCACCCCACCTGCAGCCTCACATTGCCTAAGGACCTGATGCAGCCTGCACTGTGGTGTGTGGGAGCTTCTCTCCTCCATGGGGGTACTCACCTCCTCAAAGCCTCTGCCTCCTTCCTTGGATCCAAGATTTTGGCTCAGAGATAGACTTACTGGTACTGTGAACTCTGGTATCTCATCTCCTGGCCTAGATTTCTGCATCTCTTGGTTCTCCTCCCAGTCAGCTCAGCTCAGCTGCTTCATCCCTGACCTCAAAGCAAAGTTCTGAGCTACAGGCTTGAGCATTATGAAGCAATGATAGGAGCCTGCTGGATGGCGCATGGATAAGGGAGGAGTAGGGGGATCCATAATAAGGCTGTTTCTGACCTCTTTTCCCTCAGGCTGAGCAGAAATCTGAGAGAAAAAGATTATATCACCTCACTGGCACCCCAGGTGACTGGTTGTGGCTGGATGTCAACTCCCATCAGCCCAGGAGCAGTGACCACCCATTGACTCTTCACATCCCACCAAAGCAGGGAATTAAAAAAAAAAATGGAAGGGGGCAGGGCTTTCAAAGCCTGTAATGAACCAGGTTTTGTCCTTTGTTGTTAGTGCCACTGAACCAATTCTGACTCCTAGAGGCCTCGTGTACGGCAGAGTGGATCTCTGCCTGGTCTTTTTTGCACCATCCTCTGAACTTGTGGTGCTGTATCAGGCAATGCTCCACTGCTCTTCATAGGATTTTCATGGCCATTTTTTTGGTGAATGGGTGGCCAGGTCCTTCCTAGTCTGTGTTAGTCTGGAAGACTCACTGAAACTTGCTCACCGTGGGTGACCTTGCTGCAATTTGAAATACTAGTGGCCTAGCTTTTAGCATCACAGCAACATGCACCTGCCACAATATGACAACCGACAGATAGGTGTTGTGGTTGCCTGATTGGAAAACAAACCTGAACTGTGGTAGTGAGAGCGTTGAATCTTAACCACTAGACCACCAGGGCTGGCATTTTTGTTACAGGCATTTTACAAATATTATTTCTTCTAGTTCTTTCAAGAACTCTTTAAGGTAGGTATTATTATCCCCATTTTTCAGGACACATAACTAATGTCCCAAACCAGTTGATGGCAGAGCAAAGCCTTAAATCCAACACTGGATGATTCCAGCATTCACATCTTACCCTTTACCGTATGGTCACTGAAGAACTTGGAATCCTGGAATATTCCAATGGGAATATCCTCCATTTGTTCCTCTCTCAAGGACCCTGGTCTTTTAACTCAGGTGCCCCAACTTGGGATGAGCTCATCCTGGTAATGGATAGAGCAGTTGGTGGTTGAAAGAAAAAGTGTCACTTAAGTGGACATTGGGGCCTTGGTGGGCAGGAGACATGGAATGAGTGACCTCGTACTCTGGAACTGATGAGATGAAGAGATGCCTCTCTCTCTTGAGGCTTTTGGGAGTAATTTCCTGTCATACAATGTGTGTTGTGGACTTTAGCATCCCCATCTTCAGACCAGCTCCCTTTCACATTATTCTTCATAACTCCATTCAACAGGTTTTAAATAAATTTCTCATTTAGACCTTCAACAATTCTATGAGGCAGAAATCCCCATTGTACAGATGGAAAAATAAAATTCAGAGACGTTAAGTACCTCTCACATATTCTCCAGATGGTAAGTGACGTAGGCATGATTTGGGTCCACAGGGGATCATTTTACTCATGTTACCTTCTTTCCTGTTGTGGGGTCCTGGAATTGGCCACCCCAAGATACATCTCTTTGTCATGAGGATTATTTGAGGCTGGTTACTTTTAATAAACTGCAGACAGAAAAGCAACTGAAAAGTAGAATTTACTTACCCTTTGTAAGAGACATTTACATTGTAAAGGAAATCTCCATCTGTAAAGGTGTCTCCCTGTCTGTACCTGGAAGAAGTACCTTATCTCTGGAAATTCTTATCAAATGCCAAAGGCAAGGACTTAAATCTGCATAATAATCTTATTCCTGTTTATTGTGCTTGTCTGGTAACCTCCGGTAACTGACTCCCCCCACCGCCAACATCCTCCTTTGTCTCTAGCTGAGGAGGATATTTAAGGTGGGGGCTTCAGCCATTTTGGCGAGTTGCTCAGTTTGCCTGAGCCTCTCCCATGTATACAAGTTATAAATCTATGTGTTTAATTTTCTCCTGTTATTCTGTCTCATGTGAATTTAACTCGTTCTCTGGCCAGAAGAACCCACAGTGGGTAGAGGAAATGTCTTCCTCCCTTACACACTCATGACAGACATCCAACCAGTTCCTGTCTTCCATTGGGATATCCTTCATAATGCTACTTGTATTCCATCCTCCTCTCATTCTTTTATTCCTATCTTCCACTTGCAGCTGCACCCTTTTATGTTTGAGCCAACAATCTATGAGGATTTCTCCACATCCTCTCCAACTCTTAATATTTTTTGATTGTAGCCATCCTAATGTGGGTGAAGTTGTATTTCATTGTGGTTATGAGTTGTATTTCTTTATTAATGATGTTGAACATCTTTTCCTGTGCGTATTGACCATTTGTATACTTATTTGAAGAAATCTCTTTCTCAAATTCTCTCTTTTCATGCATGACCCCACCACTCCATTGAATCTGCTCTTGTCCAGGTTATCGGGAAACTCCAGGTTGTTGAATCCAGTGGTAGATTCTCAATCTTCATCTCCCGTGACCTCTCAGCAGCAATGGACCTACACTTCCTTGAAACACTGTCTTCACCTTGCATTCCCCACTTATCATTCTTTTCCTCCTCCTCAGTAGTTGCTCCTTAGTTTCCTTTATCAATTTCTTTTCAATCTCTCCAACTTGTAAGTTTTGGAATTTCCCAGTGTTCATACCCAGACCACTCAGACCACGTCTCTTTACTGCCTACACTCATTCTCTATGATGTTATGGCCACACACTAATCTCTAGAACCTGTGACTTTATGACTTTATGTGGCAAAAGGGACTCACAGATGTGATCCCTCCCCTAGACTCCACATTATAAATTTCCAACTGTTTACTGGCCATCTCCACTTGGCTATATAACAGGCGTCTCCAGCTTCACACGTCTAAATTCAAACTCCCCAAATGTGCTGCCCATACAGTTTCCCATCCCAAAGCATTGGTGTCATCACTCTTTTTCTCATACCCTACACTCTGTCAGCAAATACTGTTATCTTTTCATTCAACATATATATTTAAATTTTTTCATATATATATATATATATATATATATATATATATATATATATATATATATATATTCATAATCTCTTACTTCCTTCTTGGTCCAATAGAACCATCATTTCTCAACTGGATTATTGCAGTAGCTTCAGTCTCCCTACTTTTGTCTTAACTCTTTAATGCTTGTTTTCAAAAAGTCACCCAGAGTGATCTTTTCAAAACCAAAGTTGCATCACATTACTCCTTAGCTCAGAACTTCCCATGGATCCCCTTTCTCTGCAAGGTCCTGTACCATCTGACCTGATCTCTCTTGCTCCCCTCCTCCCTTAATTCACTCTAGGACACTGGGCTTTTTGTCCTTCCTTCAATGCACCATGCATGTTCCTGCCTCAGGGCCTTTGCTCTGCCTAGAATTCTCTTCCCCCAGCTGTCTGCCTGTCTCACTTCCTGACCTCCTTCAGGTCTTTGTACAAACTTTATCTTCTCCATAGGGTCTCCACTGACCTCCCTATTTAAAGCTGCCCACTCCTCCAGGCGTCATCCTCACTCCTACAAGCTCTATTTTTCCTCATTGTTCTTCAAAAGGCTGTGACTCGGGGCATTTAATCTAGGCTGTAGTTTAAAGACAATGGGAAGGGAGGCCTCAAAGTGTAAACTGCAAATCCTATTATGCAAATATCATTATTCTTCCCAGGAAAATGCAACACTGATATGTTAATGAACTTACTCCAGGTCACATAACTAGGAAGTGGCAGAGCTGGGATTAAATTCTGGAGTTGGATTCTAAAGGCCCCGATCTTGACAGCTGTACATTGGTTAAATAAGGTGTAGTCTGTCTGCATGATGGAGTACTATAGACGTAATAAGAAGGATAAATTGCATCTTTATATATATATATTTTTTGAGGAAGATTAGCCCTGAGCTAACTGCTGCCAATCCTCCTCTTTTTGCTGAGGAAGCCTGGCCCTGAGCTAACATCCATGCCCATCCTCCTCTACTTTATATGTGGGACGCCTGCCACAGCATGGCTTGCCAAGCAGTGCCATGTCCACACCCAGGATCCAAACCCGCGAACCCCAGGCCATCAAAGCAGAATGTGCGCACTTAGCGTCTTTATATATTTAAGTGGGAAATTGCCCCTGGAATATTAAAAGAGTTATGGGACAGTGTGTATAGTATTATCCTGTATTATAAATATATACAAACGTATGTTTATGTCAGCATAAAGGAAGTCTAAAACTGACACGTCAAGAAGTTAACAGTAGTTATATTCTGGAACCTGTCTCTTTTTCTGTATCATCAGATTCTCTATAGCACTTATCAGAAAAAGATTATTTATTAACGTTTTTGAGCAGAGTAGTGACATGAGCAGAGCTGTGTTTCAGACAGATAACGCCACCTATATGCCAACAAGAAGCTTATCATCTTAGAAAGTCGTTAAAGTATTTATGCTCATTTTCACTTTCTTTTGTGTTGAATTGATAGCTTCAGAATCTTTATGAAATAACCCCAGATATCTCTGGATCTGTCTACACAGTACAGGCAAAGTGAAAATTTTGGTCTAATTGATTCAAATTGACACTCCTCCTGACCCAGCTGACAACCTGGCTGTTCATCAGGTCAACTGGAGAGATTCTAAGAACAGAAGCTTGGACTCTATCCCCAAACTGGGGATCATCTCTATTTTAAAAAACCCAATAGTTGATTTGGATGTATGATCTGGGTTGAGAACTGACACCTTTGGTCTACACAGAAGCTTCATTAAATTCAAATGGGAATATACATGGCAAGGAGACTGAAAGTTTGTCTTCCAAGAGGGTTCTTGGTGTGTGTTCAGCATGAGGTGCAGGAAATGTTGGTTGAGCGAAAGAGTGAGTGCAAGACGAGACCCCACAGGTTGCAATTACTTTGATGTGCTCACCAGGGTTCAGATTCTGACACACAGAACCTGAGCATGAGCCCAGAAGCCCCATTTCATCCATTGAATCTGTGTGATTTGCTTTGGAGATGCAAAATCTTGCCAACAAATGTCAAAAGACACTGATAGGCACCACCAGAATGCTGATTTATTAATTTGTAGTAAGTGGCACACTTGCTAACTGGGCTGGATGGTCCTGTTAGCCTGAGCGGTATGTCCTCTTCCAAAGACAGGCCACATGGGAAACTACGTTGTCACTGGGCTGCCTGGGGAGCCCTGAGTCAGGACAGGTGAGTAGACGCTGCTGGTGTGAATGCCGATGGCTTTCTAGTCTGAGCTCTTCATCTCCATGGTGGGACGTACCTGCCTGGGGCATGGGATTCTCCTGCCTGCCTGACAGATTTGCATTTGTCTCTGTCGCTCACCTCTCTTTATGCCCCATTTCTTATTAACCCTCTCCGGATTGACATATTTTCTTTGGTCACGTTCATTTGTGAGATTAAGTCTTGCCTTTGTTTCTTTTTTTTATTTTATTTTATTTTTTTATTAAGGTTATGAAAGTTAACATCCTTGTGAAATTACAGTTGTACATCATTAATAGTCATGTTGTAGGTACACCACTTCACCCCTAGTTCCCTCCCCGCACCCCCCTTTTCCCTGGCAACCACTGACCAGTTCTCTTTGTCCATATGTTAACTACCACCTATGAGTGGAGTCATACAGAGTCCATCTTTCTCTGTCTGGCTTATTTCACTCAACATAATACCCTCAAGGTCTATCCATGTTGTTGTGAATGAGATGACTTTGTCCTTTTTTATGGCTGAGTAGTATTCCATTGTATATATATGCCTCATCTTCTTTATCCAATCATCAGTTGCTGGGCACTTAGGTTGGTTCCATGACTTGGCTATTGTGAATAATGCTGCGATGAACATAAGGGTGCATGGAAGTTTTAGAATTGCTGATTTCAGGTTCTTAGGATAGATACCCAGTAGTGGGATGGCTGGGTCATAAGGTATTTCTATTCTTAACTTTTTGAGGAATCTCCATACTGTTTTCCATAGTGGCTGCATCAGTTTGCATTCCCACCAACAGTGTATAAGGGTTCCCTTTTCTACACAGCCTCTCCAACATTTGTCACTCTTGGTTTTGGATATTTTTGCCATTCTAACAGGTGTAAGGTGATATCTTAGTGTAGTTTTGATTTGCATTTCCCTGATGATTAGTGAGGATGAGCATCTTTTCATGTGTCTATTGGCCATCCGTATATCTTCTTTGGAGAAATGTCTGTTCATGTCCCCTGCCCATTTTGTAATTGGGTTGTTTGATTTTTTATTGTTGAGTTGTGTGAGTTCTTTGTATATTATGGAGATTAACCCTTTGTCAGATAAATAACTTGTGAATATTTTTTCCCAATTAGTGGGCTGTTTTTTTGTTTCAATCCTGTTTTCCCTTGCCTTGAAGAAGCTCTTTAGCCTGATGAAGTCCCATTTGTTTATTCTTTCTATTGTTTCCCTCATGTGAGGGGTTATGGTGTCCGAAAAGATTCTTTTGAAGCTGATGTCAAAGAGTGTACTGCCAATATTCTCTTTTAGAAGACTTATTGTTTCAGGCCTAATCTTTAGGTCTTTGATCCATTTTGATTTTATTTTCATAAATGGTGAAAAAGAATGGTTGATTTTCATTCTTTTACATGTGGCTATCCAGTTTTCCCAGCACCATTTGTTGAAGAGACTTTCTTTCCTCCATTGTAGGCCCTCAGCTCCTTTGTCAAAGCTTAGCTGTCCATAGATGTGTGGTTTTATTTCTGGGCTTTCAATTCTGTTCCATTGATCTGTGCATCTGTTTTTGTACCAGTACCATGCTGTTTTGATTACTGTA